ATTATGGAAATATGGGCTATGAAAATGTGAAGTCAGTTATATGTGTTATTCATCCTGTTTATTTCATCAATTATGCATTTTTTCATTGCATAAAGTATAAAATTTTGAAAATATCTGCTTTTCAATTACTATTGGCTTATGCAAATCGAAAATCTTAACTTTAAATAAATATGTATTAGATAGATTCTAAAAATTAGACTGATCAAACACCAGCTAAAGCAAATCCAATGTCTACTTAGTATTCATCGCAATGGCAATGTTTAGAAATAAATACAAAAAAAAAAAATAAAACGAACCCTTTAATCGCTTATTTCTTAAATACTGATCTTCAGCTAGTTTTCGTTCTCTCTGTAATTGTTCGATGAACGCACTCGGCTTATTACCACCCTCTTTGTTATCATTTCGCTGAGAACCAATTGGACTCAAGATTTCTATAATAGAATGACAAATTTCAGATAAAGAACTTCGACTGTTTTGCTAATATTTCGATGCTACTAGCAAAAACTTTAACCTATCAGAATATTCTTATCTCTAATTCAAATAGTTTCAAAATTATTTTTTCAAATTATTAACTTCGCACTCATATTTCTTTAAAGAGAATCAAGTGCTGTGCTCAGTACTCACGAATTTTTTGCCGATATATAATTTACTTAAAAATTTACCTTTTCTAGGAAAAGGTTCTTGCTTTTTTTGCGCGTTCTTTCCTTGTTCTGATCGAAATGTGCGCACAGTGGTCACAGATGACAGTGGAGATAATTCTAATGAAAATCGTTGTGGTGACAATTTTTTTTCCGGTAAGAATAAACGTTCAGCGGCATCGGCTAAGGCACTAAAGTCCTCGTCGACATTCTCGTCTAAAAATAAATGAATAAGGAATAAATCTCTGGTTGTTATAACTGAAGTTATAAAACAAAAATCGAATGAATAATTGACAAGTAAATAAGATGACTTGTTTGGTGAACATGTAAACCACTAGCTGTAGCCTGATTAAACTATTTCGTTAAGTCGAATATTAAAACAAAACTTTAAGACATTTGAACAACTTACCATTTAATATAGCAGGCCCGTCCGCCCATTCCGGTGGAGCACTTGTATCACTTAATTCTGCTTCTGACCTAAAGATCAATCACGCATATTATGATAAAAATGAATGAATTTGAAAAATCTTTCAAATCGTCAAAAACTAATTTCAAAAAACATTTAAAAAGATATTCAACGTACGCAAAATAGGAGCCAAGATATGTCTAATAATAACATTATATGTTCATGCTGCACAAATAAATGTGGAATAATTTTGGATCAGTTTAGAAAGAGATCCACTCTTTCCATTGAAATTTTAACCTTTCATCAATAGCCTTATCATGATGCATTGGAAACCACTCATAGCCATTCTCCCTGTTTTCTGTAGTCGGAAGAGCGGAAACACCATGTGATACATAATTCTGCTCTAGTTTCTTGGTATCCGTAGAACTCGAGTTTCCATGTTTGCTAACTAAGCCTGTATTCTTGATATAACCGTTAGAATTGCCTGAAGGCCATGAAACAGCAGCAGCCTCCATGATAGTTTTAGACCGTAGTCTACTTGAATCTTAAATTAATACTTTATTATAGTGTAACAGTTTCAATTTGGTTTATTTTCTTATTATATACAGTTAGTATAGCAGTTTCCACCATTCTCTAAAATGATTTCATTCTTCTTTAAATTTGAAATCTATGAAATAAAAACGAACTATCAACAACATTCAGCAACGTAAATATATGTAGATCAACCAAAGCTATGGATTAAAATTGGATCTGCAATCTGTTTTGAAATACCAATTTTACCTGTGCGATTTTCTTTTGCTTCTTTCGCCTTTAGAAATAATGCTCGTTCAGCATTCACCTAAAAACAATGTGTGCCTTTTCCAAAAAAATTTGTGACATACAAAAAAAACTTGATTAATTTAAAATAACACGAAATTTTACTACCTTTTCCTTTGAGGATCTGCATAATCCACTGACGGACACATTCTTTGAAGAATTATTATGTAATGTATGCCCGACTGAACATGGTGACAGACTAGATCTATAATATATAATATATATAATATTATTTTAGAGAAAATGTTGAAAATGTTGAGCATTACAAATATCTTTAAGCAGAACAAATCAAACAGACTTTCATATCGAATTTACTTCTCCTTACCGGCACATAATTCCTAATTTCTGAACAACATTAGTCATAATTTTAGAATTCGGCTGGGTTATTTTTATTTTTATTCCCGACCAGGCACAAATAGGACTTTTTACTGACGATAGAAAATTCTATTATTTAGTCTTCTATCATTCTGCTCAAAAAGTATAGAAACCAATTTCTGAAAAAAATACTTTGTACTGTACCTTTTATAACCATATCGCTTCCCTACTGAACTAGATCCGCTGGTTGCTGTGATGGATGAATCAGATGGTGTCGATGTTGATTTAGCGCTATCCAAAGATGAACCTTTAGTAGAATTGGTCGAGTCAGCATGACATTTAACTAAGGTTTTCTTTTGACGTGTTCTTGCGGATTTTACTGTTACTTGTGTCTGAATAAGAAGCCTTTGAAGAGAAGATATCGCAAGATCTCTTACCCTGATACTTGCAAAGATGCTACTAGAGCAATCGCTTGATGATGTACAGTCAAAAAAGTGTAAATGGCAATGATTTTTGGAAAAAATCCATAATTTAAACAATTTGAACGATTATAATCGATGTGCAGCATCATTTCAGCAATGTGATATTAGAGATATCTGCATACGGTTGATGCAGATTTGATAACCATCGCGGTTGCATATTAATGCAGTAATTAATCTTATCTATTAAAGCAATGCTTAATAATAATACAAATAGACTGAAAGATATTCAAAAAAATAAGAAATAAAATCATACATCATCACCACGGAACTGCCACACGAATGAAAACAACCATAGAACACTATTTGCTGTTTGCCAGAATGAGCGTATCAATAAATTCGAATCTTCCGAATAGTGCAAAACATGGCGACGAGGTGCTGACGATTTGAATTTTGCTGAAGAATTTCGAACTCTTAAGAAATGTATAAAATAAAAAATAAATAAATAGGGGAAAGTAAATTCTGTTCAGTAACACTTTTACATTACCTCTGTCATCTCTATTTAAAAGTCTGCCATGTCTATTTAAAAGCACTAAAACTATCAAAACTTCGCAGTGCACTTTGCAGACTACAGTGGCCTAATATACAACACAATATACTAAAACGGAAAATGAAACTTAATACCATCAAAACATTTCATTCGTTTTCAAGTAATGTTAATAAAGCCGATGAACAATTATTGAAAAAACAGTCTCAGATATCAAGTCATCACATTATTTAGAGAGAGAGAGAGAAACAAAAAAGAATACACAGAGAAGAAAATCCTCTATCACGGGTGCGTCGCATATCAATAGTGTTTAGATCTAAGAACCGTCGTGTTTGGCCAAATTGCTGCCTTATACCACATGTAATAGTTCTATCGGCTTCCAAATATGCACAAGCGACAATGCATATAAGGCACAGTCTAAAATAAAAACAAAAAATTTGAAACTAGATATTTCGAAATTTAACTTCAAAAAACAAAATTGTCGCAATTACTTGATCGACTGTTGATGGTTCAGTGACTATTGGCAAATATATGACGAATGAACTATTTGAAGTTAATAAATCTTAAATCTAAAATCGCTAAACAAGAAGTTAACTTCACTATATACTAACAGATCTATTTAAATGGCACTTAACAGCACTAAACTTCAATGTTAACTGCGACAGTTTCAAGAAAAACTGAGCTTCTACAACTGTTGATCAAGTTCATTTTTTCTTGTTGAAAAAAGCTCACATTAAAGCAGATATGCCGGAATAATACATAAAACTTTCAAAAGGTGGTCGTGGCAAAGCTGCGTGACATTTGGCTAGCATATGTCGTGGTACAGATGCGCCCATTGGAAATAACCAAGATGTACCGTTCATGTGCATATAAAACTGTAATGCAGCCTCGTTCCATGACATTAGGAAATCAGGCGTATACCTAAAATTAATATATATTCCCTTTCTGAATTTTCGGATCTTAACTTGTATGTTCATTTTCCAAAAAAACGCAATAAATTTGGAACAACAAAACAACTTTTTAGGTTAAAAAAATTATATTTGATAAACACATTGGAGAAAAAAACTGACGCGATATCCAAAATATGTGTTTCATTCGGTTTAAGCCGAAATGGATGACAGTTCAGAATACGGAAGCCACGATTTTCACATGGGACATTACTGATGCTCATGTTGACGACAGTAAATACTACTTCACCGGTGTTCATGACGGTAAAAGAACGTTTTACAGTGAGTGTTGTAAAAAGTTTGTGTGTCAAACCTGGAATTAAAAATCTCCACAATTCGTAAAATCCACATCACTCGAAACGGCTTGTCTGTTACAGAATATGATTCCATGAAGAAAATCAAAAAAAGAAAACTGATATTTAAAACTTTTGGAATTAGAAAGACGTGGAATTTTGCAGAAGTTGAAACAAAAATCAAATTGAAACTCGAAAGCAATCACATTCGTTAAACAAATTATGAAACACACGTTTTGGATTGTGACAGTCTGAAAGATGATGCGGCTGTATTTCAAAAGCCAATGGATCACGAGTTCTTGCAGCACGACCTTCTACTTGCATATCCATGCGTGCTCCACGACCATATAGTACAACTGGTTCCAAGGCCGTTAAGTTATTACTTAAATTTGATTGCATTACAGAAGAGAGAGCGAGATCAAAAGATTTCCTTGAACTTCAGACACTATTATAATCAAAAAATCAATCGCATAAGAACGATACCGAATCAGAAGTAGAGACGAACGAAGAACATAGTCAGAAGGCAGGAATCCAACACGAACACGTACTTTCATTCCTGGTTGTAGCAACATAGATAAGGTAAATCTGAAAAAAGCACAATATCAAATGAAATTTTTAAATGGGACTTGCACAAATAATTGAAGCAATATTTTGCAGTAGTCATAATTAAAGCAATTTCTTGAATATCAAACACCTACTTTGGAATTGGTATTCCAAGAACGCTTTCCAGTTCTTCTCTTAATTTCGGCACTGGACTATCAGGTTTTAAAGTAAACAGTTCTGTATCTCGTAACGAAAACATTAACGTTTCATTCATTTCAATTGGCTGTGTAAGTGGTGAATCCAGTTCACTCCCAAAAAAATCAATTAGCGTATCGGCATCAGGGTAAATGACCAGTGGTAACAACTGCACAACAACTGGTAACGACGATGGATTTGTTAACGTTAAGTTCACTATCTGAAGTAAGTTAAGGGTAAGGAAAAAACATAAAAAGCGAATTAAGATTAAAATTGAAGTCTTTAATTGTAAATAAACTACCAATAATAAAAGAGAGATATGCGATTAGTAAAAACCTAAATTTTAAATTATGTGAAACGAACAGTAAAATTTCCCACAGCCGTTAGAGGGAAATGAACAACTGAGCGAGTTAAAAGTTTTGGCCAAACAAGCTCTGCGGTCAACGGTACTTCCAAATGCTTAACCTGAAATTTCAAAATATGTAAGAAGGCAGAACTTTAAAACTAAAATCAAAATTTGGTTGCAATTATTTTTTAAAATCAAATGCGAACAAAAAAAAGTGACTTAATTAACTGCTCTACCTTATCAGTGTCAATAACGATAGTTTCATTCATATAATTTTTGCCTTCAGCTTGTAGCGCAAGAAATCTTCGTCGTAATCTGGAAACGAAATTCGAAATTGTGAAATTTTATTTTATTATATAACATCAATATTAAAAATAATCTAAAAATGACATCTACACAACCTGCTGTACAGATAGTAATCGATTTCAGCCAGATTTTGTGGCAATTTCACGCCATACGTAAACCACTGTCCATCGGCCGTGTGCAATGGCATACCTGAGTAGAAAAAGATATTTACTCTAACAATATGCTACATTGTTTTTGCCTCAAAAACCATTCTATTTTTTGATACTCCTTTCTTTACTTTGACAGATAATGATCAAAAACGACCATTATTCTGTTACGTCAGCCTGTTCGATAGATTAGCACATTTCGGTTTTCCGTGCAGCTTAGTTAGTCAAATTAAAAACAAATTTTGCGACATTTTCAATGCGATAATTAAAAAAGAAACATACCAACGTAACAATCATCTGTACAATTGGCGCTTGGTATGACATGCACACGGCCAAGGTCAGAAAGTGCTTTATTTCTGATTACAGGAGTATTAGTACTTGTCCTCTCAAAAAATATTTTCCGATCACCGAATAACGATGAAATTCGCATAACACGCATATCTTCCTCAAAGGTACTAAATACCTGAAACATTTACCATGAATCTAGAAAACTATCAACTTTTGTGGAAAAGAACCATATATGCTTCTGAAAACTTAAAAATTCACATATAAGACTATTTTAGAGTCAAGAATATTTCTTATGTGAAATGGTATAACTACATTCAAATAATCAGAGACTAATAAGGCATGTTTTCAAATGCCCATAAAAATGGACTGCCTTGATATAAAGTAGATTTTAATCCACTAGGAAGATTGAAAATGATGCAGATAATGAAAATCAGTCTTTTACATTTACTTTCAATGAATGTGAACTAATACGTCCGGGGAATGCATCAGGAAAAATGAGCTCTTCGGGTACTGCTATTATTGTACCTTGACCAACTGTATAAGTCACCGGGAATGAACTGCAAAAAAAGTAAAGATGCTAATTTGGAAATGGTGCCAATAACGAATAATATTTTATATTACAGTTAATACAACCCTAATATAATTTGATCTTAATATTTTTCAATATAATCCTAAATTTCTATCATTATTAGGAAAGAGATAAAGAACAAGAAATGATTATTTTGCATTCATTATCCGAATAATCCCCTTTAATCATAAAGAAAAAAAGCAGTATTAGAACCGTTTTATTTAATAAAAAGGAAAACTTACGAGTATTCGAAATCAGTTTCGATGACGAATGTATCATATAAAACCGCACGATCACTTGGAGCTCGCAAAGTATATCTAAAGACCGCAAAACTGGAGCCAAGTAATAGAAAATCCTCACCCTTAAAAACGAAAAAATGCTTCAGTAATTCAAAAAGAAGTTGGAACTTGAGGTCAAATTCTCTGCCCAAATCTCAAATTCTCTACCCAATCCATCCACAAATTTTACTCACACTTGTCCCTAAACTGAACCTATTAATGGATGAAAAGATTTACAAGCTTTCTGAAATGTAGAGTTTGTGTGAAGTAAGGCCTTACAGCTCAAAATTTGCTGTGACTTACTGAAACTCGTTGTTTGCATCACATGCAGAAACTAACATTAAAGCAAAAATAAACCTTTGCAATTACATACCTCTCGATAAGCTTCTGACAATTCCGACTGTTTATGGTTTGTCAAATTTAAGGTCAGGCTCTGTTCAGCTTTTACACTCAATAGTGACAATGTTGTTATTGACGGCAATGCTCTTCTTAAATTCTTTACAATAATGGCAACTGGATTCTCGTTTATTATGGAAAACTGCAAGAAAAAAACCAGCAATTTTAGCAAGATAAAGTGTTTCTAATAAGAAGCTATTGCCTGCTTAAATTAAATTTCGCTTTTGCAGAAAAGAAGTTTTCGAAACAATGTACTTCTAGCAATACTTGTAAAATTCATATATGAAAAGTTCTTTTCTTACAGATTTTTAACTAATGTCATGTTCTCCTATTCTCGTTCTTCCTTTTAACTTCGCACTGTACTAAGAAAAAACTTCCGGAACGGTTTTTCTTTGTCAATTGCTAATCCAGAAGAAACTATTAGTTTCCAAAGTATGAGCTAAAACAATCACCTGAATTGAGCGAGTGTCACCAACATCAATAAGACCGAAATTGAATTCTTTCTGATGCAATGAATGTAAAACTATCTAAACGAATTAAATAATGTTGTAAAAGCATTAAAACAAAATCTTGATCTGAAAAAATATTAGCAAAAGAGTATTATTTTAAGAACTGCACAGCGGATTTATTGGTATTTTAAATAGTTTTCCTGCTAAGTACCTTCCCGTTATTATGGGCAACATTTTTATTGCTTTCTAATATACTACAATATTTCGAAAATATTTCGAAATATTGTAGTATCTTAGAAAGCAATAAAATTTCGAAGTGGAAAATGGAGCTTAACGTCTCAAACATACTTCTACATACACCAAGCTAAATTATTTAGCTCACAATATTTGAATTTTATAAATTTAGAAAACTCGGAAAGTCTCACTTTCAATTTTCCACTGAATATAACAAGCGGTATTTGAAATGTTGTAACATTGGTATGAACATTAAAAAATGTCGTAAAACCTTCTTCTTCTTTTCTTATATATTGCAAATAAATGACAGGCTTCGTCTCACCAGCAGCTATCGCTACCACATTTGAAATTAAGTTTGCCTTAAACATATTGTATGTTTGAACAAATCATTGTTTGAAAGAATTTTTCACGAGAAATGAGAAATAAAATATCGAAATTCGATTCAATAATTAGGGAATGCTAAACAATATTTCCAGTGTGGAATGCATAAAAATGCGTATTTCAATTGGTGATCACAGTAAATCTCGGTTGTTGAATACGACAAATTTCCTGGTTGCAATACAATCACAATGGAAATAAAATGAGTAAATCTTTTGAATGGAACTAACAGTAGTTGCTAAGAGTATATAGCACTTATTCAGTTTTCCAAGCAATTAAACAATAATTACTTTAAAAAATCTTTGTGCTTTTGCATCTAAAGTTATTTTCCACACAGCAATTCCAAATGGTAAATCGTTGGTTAATGGAATGCTCCGTGAGACGGGAGGTTTCAGAAGGTTATGAAATGCCGTTTCTTCCACTTTCGGCTTTATTGAACTGGAATCAGAATATGCAGAACAGTGACTAGAACTTTAACTGATTACAATATAGTTTGAAATGTTTCAAAATGGATCAAAAACGTTTTACTTTTACAATATAAATGAATTTACCCGTAGTAAACCTGCGCTGTGTATGGTATAGTAATGTTATAAGTGCCACCGCGACTTGAAGCAACTATTCTTCCCTTATAACGAACCAATTTTGGCCTTTCTTCATTGGCACGCAATAATTTTGTATCAAATATGATTTTTGCTATTGCTTTTGATGCACCTATAAATATAAAACTTCAAACCATTCTTAATCTTCTAACACACATTAATATTTATGAACATTTATTAAATTCTCGAATTAACAACAATATAAAAAATTACTCAGATTAAAAACAAATTTGACAATTGATAGTATTGGTTTTTATTACGAGACTCCAACATGCCCAGTATTAAGATTCTTTAGACTCTCAATGTCATGTGATATTACTATCGCATGACACTGGGAGTCTAAAGAATCTTAATCCCTACATGAAACTGGAACAAAAAATACAAAATACCAGGTTGCTGTCTGGCACCACATTTCACAGAAACTGGCGGCTTCGAAGCGAATTCCATATAAATACCATTGGGCTTTTCACTGTTTTCCAAATAAAGACTCTTAAAGAGAAAGCCTGAACCAGCTTTAGAAGTATTTATCCGACAAATCTTGACTTCTTAAAAACGTAACCAATTTGAATAACTTCTAATATAAAATGATGAATATTAAAAGTCTCACCCACACAATTATTTGATAAAAATTTGCACGAGCAATCTCAAAAATACTTTGCTCATTATAAGCCGGTAAGCAATTCGAAAAGCTCTAGACTTTAAATTAATTAAACTATCGAGAAAATATGCATTATTCCTAGTTGCTTGCTAATTAGAATCAGTCGAAAGTAACAATAATATACACCCACAATACCTCAATCTCGATGCCTTTTTCTAGTGTAGAGATAATTTCCAACATTAATGTAGAAGATTTATCACCAGATCGAATTAAACCAAAATCCAACAAATCTACAGCAGAATATAATCCACGTTTCTTTGTAATCTCTACCTAAAAAAAGCTTTACTATGATGCAGTTCCTTTTTTAACAGTAAAATAAGCAGTCTTCCTACATATTATTTTGTACTAAATCATATTGTGCTCGAAGATTAGCACGACATGATTTAGTGCATATTTTTGAATAAAAAATTTGAATCTTCCTTTTTACAAAATTACCTACCTCTACAGGAACAATAAGTGTATCTTCGATGTGTTCCACGCTGATATTCGTTTGAAGTGAATTCCTTGACAACTGTTTGTCGATCACTTTCCGCCTCTTCCGATTAGTTTTGATTTTTATATACGCACTAGAATTCCGTTCTCGTGCACCAAATAGTTTAGCATTCATTACAGTCTTTGTCTCATAAGGAGCAATATCCTAGAAAAATGCTTTACTCAAAACAAATTCACATCATTAATTTTAGGATGTCTACTAAGCTAAGGCCTTGAAGAAATATCAAGTGAAAAATAATGCCAAATGTCTTTGTACACCAGATCAATTTCATAAAATTCAGAATTTTAGGTCCCCCAATAGCCGAACAAACAAGAAGATTAAATTATCAAGCAAAGAAAATGATTTGATGCAGCAATATCAAGGATACTTTTTCAGTTCTCCGCAGATAAAACTCAGTAAATTATACATACACAAACTCCATTTTAGAACCAAAGCCAACTTTCCAATTTTTCTGTTGAAAATGTCACGAAAAATATGATTTTCAATTAAAGTTGAATTAAAGTCTAATCTGAAAGTTCAAGAAATACGCTATGGTTTAATTTAATGGAAAAGGCCTCATCAAAGAGATGTTTAAGGAACTGAACTGAGGATTCTCAATTTCAAATAACTGAATTCAAACTTCTCAACAAAGTTAAGTTGTGTTTACCTGCAATCCATAAGTTTTGTTTTAAAGCTTATGTAACCTTAATTTGCTATCCAATTCTCTATCAAAATTTTTTTTTGCTATCCAAATCCTGGATTATACTTCTTATAACAGAAAAGAAAAAGCTACATCACACCCATAATGAAGCTGAATGCTGCGTTTCCGGAGCAACATCAGGCAACTCCAAATGCAAATCACCATCACTGGTATATACTTCTGTAACGCGTAACGTTGTTGGATGCGGATTGTGCAATTGAACTGGTGATACCAGCGTCCCGTTAACAGGTATTTTCGCACCAACTAATGGACGTATTCGATAAGCACTCTCCTTGCCTTTACCCTTAACCTATATTAGACAAAAACTTTAGAATTTTTCCTAATTTGATCAATAATTCGACAATACTTTGTCAGTTCATGAACAAACGAAGAAACGATTTTCTCCAAACTTTTCTACAATGAAGCTAGATTAATGAGAAACTCTATAATTAAATAAAAACAAAACCCATTATATAAAAGTAAAGATTTATTGGAATAAGCCTTTTCTAAAAGTGCATACTTATTGTTCTGGAACAGCTACATAAAGAAGAATAAATACCGAATAAGTAAATGATCCCAATGATGAATGTATAATCAGGACATTTTCAATAAAGCCCTCCTGTCGAGGAAGAAAGACTACGCTGAAAGTAGTCGACTCACCAGGATTCACAGTCTGAAGAAATGAATATGTTTCAAAGATCTCTTTGGCAAAACTAAAAAATTTCGAATTATTTTTAGAATCATACTTAAAGAAGCATCAAATAATAAGTAACTGATCAAAAAACCGAAATGCTTTAAACATTAACTGCATCTTTCCCGTATACTACAAATCATAATTCCAAACTATTTTAAGATAAAAATTTTCATTTCAATTAATTTTACTGCATCTTCAAACAGAGAATAGCAGTCAAAAGTTCACCTTATGTTCAGGAAATGAGCAATGAAAATTAACGGTGGAGCCAGAAATCGCGTCGAAACGAACTGTCGAAGCAGTTGGATTGTATATTCGAACTTCTTGCTGTTTTGCCATACCCATTGATCTAAGATTTAAAAAACTTATATACTAAAAAATGTTGCTATTTAAAAGAACCAGATTTTGAAATTACTCTCAAATTTTCGTAATTTTCAAACATCTGATCTATCTTAACTAAAATTATCGGTACTACATGATCCCATTTTACTTCGTGATTTTTACTTCCTACACTAGATGAAAAGGATGCAATAAAAAGGATAAGCGGTAGAATTGGACAATATTTCGCTTAATCATTTGTAATTGATTTATCATTGAATGCAATCAAAAATATAACTTACTGCTCATCGAATTGCAATTCATTTGGAGTAAATTGTAACTGATTGTTAAGCATTGCCCCATTCTGATCGATACTGCAAAAATTTCTTCATTACATAATAATAAAGATATGAAAAAAAATCAAAATGAAATTTCAAATTTAAAAAAATCATGTGATTAACAAAAAGTTGCATTAATGAAAATGAAAAATTCTAGCCTAATTTAAATCAAAATAAGAAATGAAATCCAAAAAACAATACTTTACGAATCTGATCCTTAGGCTAAAATTCATTCTTTGCTTTATTTATTTTCCATACACTCATTTTCTCCTGTTGTATAAATTCAACTAAACAAAAAAAAATTGCTCTTAGCAGTAAATCATGCAATAAAAAAATGGAAGAAAAAATACCTTTTCAAGGGCGCACCACCAACTAATGAATCATGGTATTCGATATCTGAAAAATAATGTAGTTCGTTCCCTGTTTGCACAAATGCGGTAGCCATAAAGGGTAGCTCAATGCCAAGATCGAAGGTTGCTTCAGCTGTAGTCCAACAATGGCGTATGGCGCAATCAAGCTGCAGCACCAGTGTCAACAATAAACACTTTCCGATAATGCTACCACTGCTAATCATTATACATCCCTAATCTGAAAATTTAAACAAAATAAATGATTTTATTAACTGAAATATTTTGAAATTTTCCAAGATTCCAAATGATCTGACTTTAAAATACTATTCAAAAAATAATGGAACGTGGTTACAATTATGTTAAAAATATAAGTGGAAAGCTGATAGAAAAAACAAATCTCTGAATTTTCAAAATAAAATCAAACAAGAAGTAATATGATTCAATATACACTTTTATCCTTATAGATTATAACTATGATTACAAGACAAAATTTCAGATATCAACATTTTCTACACTAACTGAAAACTTTAATTACAACAACTAAAATTATCACAGCACCTTTTCTATCAATTCTTGTTAAGCAGAAACAAATTAAAAAGGTTATAATAATATCGTTTTAAAAATTTACCATTCAGTTTAATTAATTTATCCCATGATAGAAAAAGAATATGCTTATTTATTTAACAAACCCAAAATATTTCAAGTCATAGATGCTATTTGTTTTTGATCGAAAGAAAAGTATGCTTGACGACGATCACAAATATAATATTCCGTGACTAATGGTATCAATGTAATGAAAATACTCAAGCTAAAATATTACAAAATGCTACTTCCTGCTAACAATTCGTAGCAAACTATTGATAAATTATAGTGCATGATCAATGATAATGACTGATGTTTTATAAATGTTGTCATCAATAAAAAACAAAATGGACGAAATTTTAAAGTTTATTCCAGCATCGATACTCAAGAAAGATACAAATGCTAAGTAATATTTGAAAATGTGAGAAAATAACTTAAGAAGTATGATAAAGAAGTCAAATGGATCGCTTGTCATGAAAAAGATTAAATTTCGATTTCATTTCAGTTGATGTTTCAGTTTTGATAGAAGTAATGCCTCATAACATACATTCATCATAAATTAGTAACAATTAGTAAAAAAAAGAAAATGAAAAGAAGGATTTATGCTGGTTCTAACTGTTTTGTTTCGATTTTAAATAATAAAATAATGAATTCATAAACTGGGATTATAATAAGAATTTCAATTAACAGCAAATGAATGAAACGGGTATGTATCTATATCAAAAAGCCTTTACAATATAATAGGAAATGCTAATTATGTCATTGAATTGAAATTGAAAAATTGAAAAGATTTTAAAAACGAAAACTGGACTTAGGAGAAATAAGAAAATCATCAAATTCAGTCACCGATTAAAGAAGAAAATTTTTGTTGAAATGCGAAAAAAAGTGGTGTATGCGTGCATATGTACATATGTATTTTATGCACAAATCGTTGAAAGCAACAAAATGTATGATGAAATTCTAAAAAATCAGGAAATTAAAAAATTTTTATATGTCATAGGAAATGAATGATAGCAATTGTAGCAGGAAACCGGTCTTTATAATTCTTGGATGGAAGTATTATATGGACGACCTAATGGAACAAATTATGGTATGGCTTTTGATTGAAATATTATATTACGGTATGGCTTTTTTTGAATGGATAATTATGATAAATATCCTTATTAGAATTATTACAGTTGTCAGGAGTAAATAACTTTATAAATTAAAAAATCGATCAAGGTAATTTGAGAAATTAAGGTTATGGTATTTCTCTTAAATGATTTTCATCGGTTACACTTTAACAATGACTACTTGTCAGATATTGTGAATAACATAAACAAATGTTCAAGCAGTGTAAGTTGCAGATTATTGGTTATATAGCATCTATGACAACCCACCAATCCTTATCAGCCTTATCACGCAAGCCACGTAACGCAACACTTATCATGAAAATTATGCAGCCCCTGATATGAAAAAACTTTTCTCAAACAAATTTTAAAAATTATTGAAGAATATCAATGGAACAATATCAGTTATATTTAACTTGTAACTTATGCTATTCAATAACAATTCATTCTTTTATTTTTATATTAAAAAAAGCTGAGAGTCAATAGAGCTCCCTAATAAAATAACTAAAATATATTTGTTCCATTTAATCTATTTTCTTTAAAAAAAAGTCATATGAATAAATTTCGAATCTTTGACGGTCAATAAAAGGAACAATGCACAAATGATCAAAAGAAAGAGAAATGAAGAATTTGATTGTGATTTTAGCTAATTACCATATCGTTTAAACATCATCTACTCATTATAATTCAACCAACTTATGTCTTTCATTCCTTCCTTCCTCTCCTCCCCCCAAAAAAAAGGTTTTATCGGGCTAGAAAGAAACAAAAGAAAGATCGAATAATGTAAAAATATATAATTTGTTCCCACGTAATGTGATAATTGTTATCATTCAGCAATTATAAAAAAGTGAAATTTAATCTACGCGTGTGTGTGTCTGTGTGTGTGTGTGTGTGTGTGTGTATGCGTATGTGTGTATGTATGAGTATATATGTGTGCGCATTTGTACATGTTTCAATCAAAAATAATTCGATTAGACTAAAATTTGGAGGATATACATAGATACATAAAAAGATTTTCACCTTCCATCAGGTAATTATTTCAACTCTGACCTCATACATATAGCAAATTATTCCTGTAAGCACAGTCACTTAACTACAATTCGCGCTAAAAGCAATATTAAGTATAAACAGAAAGTGCAATTCCAACAATATTTAAATTCTATTTCAACAAAACTTCATTTAAATCAAAATGAATAATAATAATAACGAATGAATGAAGGAAGGAATGAAAAATTCGGGTGAAGCTAAAAATAAATTAGCCATGTTATCAGAATAAAACATGGAATAAAAATGGAAATATAAGCAAATATGAAGAAAATGGACGAGAGAACATATGTAATGCAAACATTTTCATTTTCCATCTAACTTAAATTTTCGATAAATTAAAAAAACAGAAAAAAATTACAGAAATTAATTAATTGAATAAGAAGTGAATATGAGTGAGGCATATTGAATAGCTGAACAGATTTCAGCTATTAAATCAAATAGCCGGAAGGAAAAATGAAGAACGGAAAAAAGGACGGTGATTGAACCGCGGAGGCAGCTGAAATAATTCGGAGATGTACGAAACTTCGAAAATCGATTCTGTGATAATAATTTAATCAATTCTAAATGCCAGCATTTGCTTCCTTTTTTATTTCTCTCTTTCCTATTGTATAAACAAACAACGAGGAATCAGCATTCTTCATTCCCTCCCCCGTTACCTTCTTGTGCCATGAGCAAACGTAAATTTATTGAAATCATCATGATCACTGCTGAAAAAAAATTATTTGGTTAAATTTGTTACATTTTTAAAAAACATTGAAAAAAAATGTAATACTTTTAAAGGAATATGGCTAGCACATTTTAAGAGGAAGAAAAA